TTTTTATGGCTGACTTAGAACAACGCTCGTCCCCTAACGCCCCTACTCTACTTGCACTGTAGTGGGCTGTAGTCCACGAAAGCTTATGCTCTAATAAATTTGTTAGTCTCTAAGGTGCCACAAGTACTCCTGTTCTATAGTCTCTAGTTATTCACAAGTTAACATTCCTGTCTCATAAAGTATTTCTCACTCAATGATCAGTCCTTACAGCGCTTGTGCCATCCAGAGAGCTGGCAGAGTCTCTCCTCCATAATAGATTACATCTTGTGCCCTTTCTTCTTCTCTTTTACAGTTACAGATTATTGTCTCTTATCGCAGAGGGTCCCCTCTTCAAAGAATTTTCCTGGGGTTCTTTTGTCATTGTAAATGCTCAAGCCTGCATCTGCACACAGGCAGGACCGGCTCCAGGGTTTTTGCTGCCCCAAGCGGCAGGAAAAAAATAAAAAAGTCGTGATCACAATTGCGATCGGCTGCACTCCGGCGGCAGCTCCACCGTGCCACTTTCTTCTTCGGCGGGAATTCGGCGGCAGGTGCTTCCCTCCAAGAGGGACCCGCCACCGAATTGCCTCTGAACAGCCCGACATGCCGCCCCTTCCCCTTGGCCACCCCAAGCACCTGCTTGCTGGGCTGGTGCCTGGAGCCGGCCCTGCACACAGGGCTTGGGCTGTTCTCAGTGTTAATTGAGTCAGCACGGAAACTCCCCCAGCCTCAAGTGACATATTTCGCTTCCAACAGTTTTGGAACATAATAGCCTACATGGTACATAACTCTATTATTTCCCCTGCAGGCATCTTGCAATAACCACAACAATCAGCTAATTCTTAGCTTTCGCCAGAGACAGTGTGACCTCCTTCAGTGATATATTAAGGAGATGGCTGGACACAAGGGTGCTATACATGTGTGGGCATGTCTGGGTCACATCCCCCCTTGAGAGACTTAAGATGTTCATCAGGTCCCTCAGCTGCTCTGTCCGAGTTTGATTAGGTTCTTTGCCAACATTCCCCCATTCACACATATTGAGACTTAAGGGATGCAAGTCAGGCTACAGTCAGCTTTTACACCTCGAGGAATTCTGTGCCACTGCACAATGCAGAATTTGCGCAGAATTAATGTTCTGTGCAGAATTTCCTCACCTCTGCCCCAAAAATGGGCTGCAGAGCTGTTGACTGCCACTAGGGGCTGCTGGACCTGGCAGAGCCAAGCTGCCCAGATTGCAAATGGAAGACACTACTGTGGGGTGGTAATGGGACGTGGAGGGTTCCTGGCAACCGAAGTTCCCTGCATGCTCTGAAGGAAGGAGGCGGAGTGCAGGAAACTCCACACAAACCCAGGACCCAGCATTAGGCTGTTTCTCCCTCTGGATCCCTGGGATCTGGATGGGGTGTGGGTGGCTGGGCTGGGAGATGCTCCACAGCTGGGCTCTGAGTGGAGGAGGGAGTGTGGGCTTCTGGCCTCCTGGCTGGGCTCTGGTGTGTGTGTGTGTGTGTGTGTGTGTGGTAAGGGGCAGAGAAATAGGAACTGCGTTGTTGTAGGGGTTTCTTCAACGCTCTACCACAGGCACCAACTTTATACAGTGCCGGAGGGTGCTCACCTCCCGGTCCTGCCCCAGACCCCATCCACACTCCAGCCCCTCCCCCAAGGCCCTGCCCCACCTCTTCCTGCCTGCACTCCATCCCTGCCCCGCCTCTCTGCCACGTTCCACCCCCTCCCCTGAGTGAGCCACTTCCTTGCTCCTCCCCCTCCTCCCCCCCAGCCACCTACACACCACCAAACAGCTGATTGCGGGAGGCAGGAGGCTAGGGGAGGGAGTGGGAGGCTCTGATTGGCGGGGCTCACTGGCGGACAGGGGAGCTGAGGTTCTGATAGGGGGACTGTTGGTGGGTGCATAGCAAATTTTTTCCCTGTGGGTTCACCAGCCCCAGATCACCCACAGAATTAGTGCCTATGCTCTCTACTCCAAAATTATTGAAACTCACATGATTATATATTTAAGTATCAGAGGGGTAGTCATGTTAGTCTGGATCAGTAAAAAGTGGCAAAGAGTCCTGTGGCACCTTATAAACTAACAGACGTATTGGAGCATAAGCTTTCATGGGTGAATATCCACTTCATCTGCTCCAATATGTCTGTTAGTCTATAAGGTGCCACAGGACTCTTTGTCGATGATTATATAGTGTTATTTTGACAACTATAATATGCAGAATTTCAAAATATTGTGTGCAGAATTTTTAATTTTTTGGTTTAACTGTGCAGCTCACTGGTATGGATTTTTCACACCCCTGAGCAATGTAATTAAGCTGACATAATTTTCTAGTGTAGACCAGGTCTGAGGGTCAGTAAAAAAGATGAATACAGCCACGCAGTAAGGTTACTATGTGAACTTTGATTCAGTTTCCTGAATCTTGCAAGTTTAAAATCTCAAACTTAATATTACTGAATATATTTATCTAGATTATAGGCATACTGCAATTTTTATTTCTTTCTCTAGCTTCCGGCTCAGATCCGCTGATATCTGTTGAGGATTATCAAGATGAAGGGATCCGAATTGTTTGCCAGTCGATTGGATGGTATCCAGAGCCTGAGCTGCAATGGAGAGATCGCAGTGGAAATCATTTGTCATCCCTTTTTGGAAAAAAATCTCAAAGTGAAAATGGGTTGTTTAGTATTCAGCATATGCTCATTATAACAGAAAAGTCTATCAGAAACCTTTCCTGTTCTATCAGAAACAGTGTTCTGAAACAAGAAAAGGTATCAAGAGTTTATATATCAGGTGAGTTTCTTTCTAACTTACACAACAAATACAATGAAATATGGCTTACTTTAATGGGGAGTATTTATTAATATATTCTTGACATTGTCTACATGAAAAACTCAAGATGCTACAGGTAGAGGCAGTGATTAATCACTATTTTATACAAAATTATTCTCTCAATCACCATTAACCAACTGCTTGAAGTGTTGCTACTGGATAACATGCTTCAGGTCATGCCTTATTTATGGGTGAGTTATAAAACCCAAATGTCGACCAATTACAAGCCCAGTTTTGACCAATTAAATGTTCCACCACCATTCTCAAAATAGTAAGAGGTTTTGCCTCAGTACCTTGGAAAAAATTACAATTTGGGTAATTTTATTGAGCTGTGAAAAATTGCCCCTCTTAATTTTAATAAAATACTGGGTTCTTCTTTACTGCTTGTATTCTTAAAGTGTTATCAATAATACAATAATAATCATAGGAAAAGCTGCTGCATTAAACATCAGAGGTAAAAGTCTGTGATAGGTAAAGTGGTTCTTGTTACTGTTAAATAAATATAAATCAAATTTTGTCACAAAATCACTGTTCAGTTTAGAAGAAAATCAGTTGATGCTATCAGTGTTTCCAAATTAATGAGACTTTGTTTTACAGATGCATTTTTCCCCAAAGTGTCCCCCTGGTTTGTGGCGCTGCTTCACCTGGTGGCTTTTATGGTTTTTTTCATCTCTCTTGTGATTTATTTCTATTGGAATCAACACAAAGAAAACGGTAATATTAACAAAAAGAGCAAATATATTGCACTCAGGAGATTTTTCTTCTAAAACTCGAAAGTTAGATAAAGTGATTCGCAGAGGGGTTATGATTCCCTGGTTTGAAGAAGGATGAATAATGGTTACATGGAAGGAGTGAGAAGCACAAAAGATGACTGAAACACTTCTCATACAAAAGCTGAATGTTATAGGTTCAATTTTAGTAACAATGAGATGTCAAATAATTTAGGCTTCATTTTATTAATCAAAAACAGAACTATACAATGCAGAAAGGTTAATACTTTACTGATCTGGGAAGATTTCGCAATTCCTGTGTATTGCCACAAACCTAACACTACTTTTTTAATCTAGCTCTTTGACATGTTTTTCAAGACATCAAGGCACTGGGATCAAACAGACATTAGAATCATAGAATATCAGGGTTGGAAGGGACTTCAGGAGGTCATCTAGTCCAACCCCCTGCTCAAAGCAGGACCAATCCCCAGACAGATTTTTGCCCCAGATCCCTGAGAGGCCCCCTCAAGGATTGAGCTCACAACGCTGGGTTTAGCAGGTCACTGCTCAAACCACTGAGCAGTCCCTCCTCCTATAGCTATCATCCTCTGCCTGATGGGCTAGACTGCATAAACCTCATACGTCTTAGCTTCTAAGAGGTTGTTAGTGGCATGTACACAGAACTGGTTACATATAGACTTAGCGGAATTCAATGTTTATTTTTTTATCATTTTGATGATTGATATAGATGTTTATTTTTAAAAATTTCCCCCAATGTTCACAGTTGTGCCAAATGGATTTTAAGCATGTTTTCAATTTTTATTGACTTAAATGTTCACAATGCTGGGAAATTATGGAGGAGTCAGACAATAATTATTTAATGACAGGAGACATTTGAAATTCAAAAAGTTAACACTTTCTGAATGTTAAAACACAAATTGTGAATATCACGTCAAAATATACAAAGTAAAAATACCTAAATCAAAGTCTAATGATTCGCTCACAGCACTTCTCCTACTTTGCCTCTCGGTAAATTTCAGTTATCATTGATGGACATTTTTTTTTGTTGGTTTGTGTGTGTACGGCAAAAGCGACATTTTCCAATATTTACTGATAAATATGTAATCCTTCCAAGCCTGGTTCTACAAAGGTCATAATCAGCATCAATAAGTTTCCAGTGTGCAGTAAGTATTTTAAGTAATACAGTTAAAAGTTTTATACCTTAGAATGAATAAAACTATTCTAAACATATGATCTACCCGTCAATTTAATTTTGTAGCATAGACAAGCTACTAGCTACTTCCTTATTTTAATTGTGTAACATACCTTGTCTGATCACACTTGTAGTTACAGCAACAAAACAAACTTATCTACTTTAGTGTTACATAGGCTCTGACTTCCTCTTTCGTGGGGGGTGGGGTGCTCAACCCCCACTGTGCCCCAGGCCCTGCCCCAACTCCACCCCAGCCCCCAACCCTCAGAGCACCCATGGAGTCGTCACCTATGGGTGAATACATTTGTCTGTGAGAGCTGATTTCACAGTACATCTGTTTATGAGAGTCAGTTCCACACACCTCAGTACGATTCCATTCATTACATGACAAAACTCCTGTGCAACATTAGCAATATATGTAACTATAACTTCGCAAGCGGTGTTTTTCCATTTTGGCTTTGTCCTAGCCACAAAACATTCTGGTTCAGTTTGGCCAACACAAATACAGTGTGATTCTTCATTCTTCATTGTGATGGCCTAGGTGACTTTGCAAAGGGCAGCTATAATTTTAAATACATATATATCTTTACTAAAATAGACTCTCTTACACCATCCTCAAAGAGTAGTTATCAATGTTCACAGTCAAACGTGGAGGATATTTCTAGTGGGGTCCTGCAGAGGTCTGTCTTGGCTCTGGTACTAGTCAATACATTTATTAACGCCTTGGATAATGGAGTGGAGATCATGACTGTAAAATTTGCAGATGACAACAAAGTGGGGGAGCTCACAAGCCTTTCGCAGGAAAGGATTAGAGTTCAGAACAATCGTGATAAATTGAAGAGCTGTTCTGAAAGCACTAAGATGAAATTCAGTAAAGACCAGGGCAAAATAGTACTAGACCTCAGAAGAAAAAATCAAATGCATAAACACAAAACAGGAAGTAACTGACTAGGCAGCAGCACTGCAGAAAAATATTTGGGGGCAACAGAGGATCACAGATTGAACACGAGACAACAGTGTGATGCTGCTATGAAAAAAGGCAAATGTAAGTCTCAGATGTATTAACAGGAGTGCTGTATGTAGGAGGTAATTGTTCTGCTCTACTCAGCACTGGTGAGGCCTCAGTTTGAGTACTGTGTCCAATTTTGGGTACCACACTTTGAGGAAGATATGAACAAATGAGAGAATCCACAGGAGAGCAACAAAAATGATAAGTGATTCGGAAAACATGACCTGTAAGGAAAGGTTGAAGGAACTGGGCATGTTTAGTCTAGAGAAGAGACGGCTAAAGGGGGACCTGTTAATCGTCTTCAAATATGTAAAAGGCTGTTATAAAGAAGAGAGTGATCAGTTGTTCTCCATATCCGCTGAAGGTAGGACAGGAAATAATTGGCTTAGTTTGCAGCAAGAAAGATTCAGGTTATATATTAGGAAAAACTTTCTAATTCTAAGGATAGTTAAGTGCTGGAATAGGTGACCTAGGGAGACAGTGGAACCCTCTGTCACTGGAGGATTTTAAGAACAGGTTAGACAAACATCTGTCAAGGATGGTCTGATATATTTAATCCTGCTTCAGTGCAGGAGGATGGGCTAGAGGACTCTTGAGGTCTCTTCTAGCTCTACATTTCTATGATTATTTACCTTAGATTCATGTCTGTTTTTTTCTTTTCAGTGAAACTTAATGAAAAAATTAGTAAGTTCAATTTTTCTCCCTTATATAAATGTTGTATGAATTTCTACTCTCTTATGAGTGTATGGACTCATGGTTGGTGTAGCTCTGGATATTGGGGGGTGGGGTGGGGAGAATACAAAAGTCAATCTAAGCTGCTGTTTTGCCTTACCCAGTCCTTGGACCAATCAGAATCTGAAACAGACCATGACTTTGAGTAGCGTAAAGGCTTGTCTGGTGCAAACTAGAGGGCTCCCTAGGGACTACTCCACCAGCTGAAGTTTGGGCAGAGTGCTGAGTGCAGTGACCTCACCTCTTGGATGCCTGTCCCACCCTCTGTATCTCCAGCCCTGACATGCCTCCTAAGACAAAATCAGGGGAGCCAGTGGTGTAAAGCCTGCCTATGCCGGGACGATTCTTGGCTGCTTGTCTGAGGCAGTTTTAAAAGCAATTTGTGCTACCGGAATAGCACAAAAAGCATTCAGGGACTGAATGGGAACCTTGTGAAATCAATGGGAGTCTTTCCATTGACCTAAACAGGCTTTAGATCAGACCCTTGTTGAGGGTCAGGGGTGTTTGGATGAGATCTCTAGCCACCTTATGTTTATATCTGATTCTTTCTTTTCAGAGAAACTTATTGAAGAAATTAGTAAGTTCATTTTTTTCTTCCTATCAGTCTTTGTATTACATTCTATCTTCTTACTATGACGTGTGTTCAAAGGAGTTCTCATGTCTATATATTTATGCTCTTGGTTTCAGATTGGAGAAAATTTCGAGGATATGCAGGTGACTAAAGCTGATGTATTATCGATATCAAAATCCCACCTTCCCCTGAGATCTTACGTGTCCTGTCCTCCTACTATCAAATATACTAATTACAAAATTAATGGGATAAAACTAAGGATGGTAGAAAAATGTCCTTACATTATTTTTTTCCAAGTGGAGGTTTTTCAACTAAGCTAAACACAACACATTTTCATGGAAATGTATCTGCTTTTCTTGAAACTTTTCATTTTTTTCATCAGAAAACTGAAAACCCATAAACTGAATTTCTTCCATCTTTTCGCCAAAAATATTTCTGGTTTTGCCTGTTTACAGCAAAACTTTTATTTTTTTTCTGTTTTTGCCAGTTTTCATTCCCAAATATTTTGCTTCTGGCAGCTTTTGGCTGAAAACGGATTTTTTTCTTTCCGTTTTTAGTTTTTCAATTAAAAGCATTTATTTTTCTACAGAAAAAAACCTACCCACCCCAAATGCTTTCTATCCAGTTTGAGATAAAACTGCTAATTTTCCTTGTGGGAGAGCAAATAATCAAACGTCTTTCAGGATCAGCAACTACGTACTTTGAAAAAGTAGAGAATAATGAAGAATATTTTCTCTGGTATTAAATTTTCAGGATGGCACTTGGCTTTTATTATTATTTGTTTTATAGTGGCCCCTAGAGGGTCCAACCCAGATCACAGCTCTGTTGTGGTCATCATCATCATCATGTTCCCATTATGCCTCTGGCGGTTAGGGCAGTGACGAAGTTCCTCCACTCCTGTCTGTTTCTGGCAAGTCTTTTAGTGGTTCCCCAGCTGTGCCCCAGGTTTTTCAGCTCGGCTTCCACAGCTCTTCACCATCCTGTTTTTGGGCGGCCTCGTTTTTGCTTGCCTTCAGGTGTCCATCTTATTGTGATTTCCATCTACTCTTGTGATGGAATCAGTTTCCATCCGAAGCATGTGGCCAATCCATCTCCAATGCCTCCTGGTATTGATATTGCTCATATACTCTTGGCTGCACTGTGTCAATAGATCTTGGTTTGAGGTTGTTCTGGGCTAAAAGATACAGAGGATTTTTCTGAGGCAGGTTGTATGGAATGAAGAAAGTTTGGACATAGGGATTGTACAAATACTTTGTCCTCAGGAATTTGCAGTCTAAAGAGACAAACAAAGAGTGGAAGGGGAAACAACATGGGCTGCATAGAAACACCCCCATTGGGGAGGTAGCCCCCTACCCCGTTCCAACCCCTAGGCCACTGGCCCAAAGCCTCGGCTGCTGGTGGGCCCACTCCTGAGTGCCAACCCGGCCCCTGGGATGCCAGCTGGCTGGCCCTGAGCTGCCCCCTGGCCCAAGTGGCCCGAGGCTGACGGCCCAAGCTGACTCCCCTGCCAACTTCTGGGGAGAACGGGAGCCAGGGCAGGGCCTTGGGCTGAGCCGTGGGAGGGGCCAAGGTCTGGGTTAGGAGAGGCTTAGCCTCCCCTGGCCTATGATACCTGCCGTCCCTGGGAAACAACTTGTCTAAGGCTTACGTCAGCCTAACTATGTTGGTCTCTACACTACAATTGTGCTCCTGCCAATGTAAGTTGCCCACAACATCGACATAATAACTAGACTTCCATGAGAGGCGTAGCTCTTGTATCGATGTAGTTAGGGTGACACAGTGTCCATGTTGGGGTTGCCAGGAATCCATTTTTTTACTGGAACGAGTGGTCAAAAAGGGACCCTGGTAGCTCTGGTCAGTGGCTAAAAGTCCAGTTGGTGGCACAGTGGGCGTGCTGCTCCCGGAAGCAGTTGGCATGTCTGGCTCCTAGGTTCAGGGGTCAGGGGCCTCTGCTCGCTGGCCCTGCCCTGAATGCCGGCTCCACATCTCCCATTGGCCAGGAACCTCATGGGAGCTGCGGGGGTGGCACATGTGGGCGTGAGGCTCACAGCTGTCCATGTCTCACAATGCTCCACTTCAGTCGGTGGAAGTGTTTCTGGTGAGGACACGCACCACCAACAGAAGGTGCATAGTGCGGATGTGAAGTTCTTTTCTTCTCCATGCAGCTATGGGGACTTAACCACCTCTACAGCACTGTCCCATGTATTGGGATTGTGTGGGGCTTTCTCACCATGTCCAGGGGCAGTGCTGGAGGGGTGGGAGAAAGTTTGGTTAAGCTGCAGGAAGCAGTTAGCAGGAGGGTAGTAAGTACATAGTTCCCCGACTTTGGCCTGCTGGGTCTTCCCTGGAAAAGGTAATACAGAACCAGATGTTGGGCCCAATTTTCAAAGGCAGTGTAGAGCTGGCCAGGTTTTTTTTTTTTTTTAATGGAAAATTTTGAGTTTTTCTTGAAAAAACAAAAATTGATTTATTTTTATTTTTATTTTATTTTTTGGTTTTCTGATCAAAAAATTAATTATTTTTAGGAAAGCAGCCACGTTTTCTGAGAAATTTTTCATTTAATTGAAAAAAAAAGTGTTGATGGAAAATGTTTAACCAGCCTTATCGCTCGTCCACCACTCTAGTGGAAGCTGCAGGCCCTACACGGCAAAACATCGGGCTCACTCTCTCTTTTCTTTCTCTCTCTTTAATACAAATCATTAATCCCTTCAATGGGAGTGACTGTGATTCTCTTGTTCTCCTTTCTATAGTGAATTTCACACTGGATCCAGACACAGCTCATCCAGAACTCATCCTGTCTGACGATCAGAAAAGTGTGCATCATGGAGACATACGTCAGCATCTGCCCAACAATGCTGAGAGATTTGATTATTCTGCCATTGTGCTGGGCAGTGAGAGATTCACAGTTGGCAGACATTATTGGGAGGTTTCGGTGAAAGATAAGACTAACTGGGACTTGGGTGTTTGTCTGGAGAATGTAGACAGGAAGAAGAAGATTATAGCAAACCCTACAAAGGGATACTGGGTAATTGTGCAGAGGGCTGGGGATACATACAAGGCCCTCACTGAAGTTCGGACTTCCATAACTGTGGAAGTGAAACCAAAGCAGATAGGGATTTTCCTGGATTGTGGAGAAGGAAAAGTCTCATTTTACAATGTGACAGATGGGTCACACATGTACACTTTCAATGCCAAGTTCACCGGGCCTGTCCGACCCTTTTTCAGTCCTTGGTACAATGAAGATGGTAAAAATGCTTCTCCTCTAAAAATCTGTCATGTTAGGGACTGGGAATGAGGCAATCAGCTATTCACAATGGCAGGGCAGGGAGGCAAATGTATAGTGAATAGGGCAGCAGACAAAGAGTGAAGAGCTGTAGGGTCTATGCCTGGCTCTGCTGTGTTACCCAAAGGAAGACTCACTGGGTCCAATTCCCCTGCCTTGCCTATTTAGATTACAAGCTGTGAGAAACAAAAGGTTTAATTGGTGAAAGAGCCAAGTGGCTTTCAAATCCCTCAGCTAGGTTACCTCTGTTCTCAAGATTTCTTGGCTCAATTTGATAATTTGAAACTTAAAACAGCTCTGTATATTTTTATAAGTTTTATTAAAAGCTAATAAACAAACTTAAAAATCCAATAGACTTATCTCTTGGGCTAACAACTATAAAGTTTTACTAAACTAACTAAGGATAAGACAACAGAATTATCAATCAAGGTCACAGTTGGAATTGAGTTAATTAATCAATGAACAATGATACTGAACTTAAAATACTCTAGTAATTTAGCCCCAAAGCATCGGTCTTGTAAAGCAAAGACTGAAGACTACAATCTTCGTAGAATAATCAAAAGAGAAGGACTGAAAACTTCATCCCCGGTCCCCAAAATCGGAATCTTATATTAAATTAATTTTAATCAAGTCATTAAATTAAGACAGCTGATCATCATATCATGATATTAATATGGCACACAGTCAATTCTTAAACATACTATCTTGAAAACTTCAGGAGGCAGTTGTCCCGTTAGTTCCAAACCTTAATTACAGGATCTTGCTCATGGCAAGGTGAATGAATGAACTGATTGAATGTTTTAGAATCAAAACCAATCTAATTCGACCCTCAGACCTGAATGCAAATTTACACTCCACTTGCAGGTCCCATACGCTTAGGGCATGTCTACGCTACAAAATTCAGTTGACTTAGCTTCAGTCAGCAAACAGCCACCGCAGTAATTACATCGATTGTGCATGTCTACACTTTGCTTCTTGTGTCAGCGGTGTGTGTGCTCACCAGGAGCACTTGTGTCAATTGCACTGTCAGTGTGGAGCACTGGGGGATGGCTTCTGAAAGCCAGTAACAGTCGACATAAGCAACACAGTGTCTATGTTGAAACTGCATCGACCTTGACTCTGCCTCTCGTGGAGCGAAATTTTAGCGTAGACCTTTCCATAGTTAGGTTGACATACGCTGCCTTGCATTGGCCTAACTCTGTAGTGCAGACAAGGCCTTAGTGACTGCCAAATCTCTTACCAGCAAATGAGGCAAACAAAGATTGGCTGCAACACACTGCAGACTAGAGACTTGGAAATACAAACTATTGCTACTGGTGGTGATAAAACTGCCACTCTATCTGGAAGAAGTGCAGGAACCTTCATGTTGTGGTGTACCAATAGTCACAGATGGCTTTAATTTAGCCCGGTGTTCTGTCCACTGTCCTGCACCACACTAGTTGCCTCCTGCTGGGGAATTGGAAAAACTCAGTAGAAGACCTATACCCATCCATTTATAACCCTTGGGACCATGGGTGGTGTGTGACTTCTCCATTTAGGGAGGCTGTGCGTTCCCGGACCATGGCCCCACCCCAAGGCCTGCCCCCACTCAGCCTCCTTCCCCCAAAGCCCCACCCATGCTCCACCCCCGGCCCCACTTGGCCCCCTTCATGAAACCAGAAGAAGAACTCTGTGTAAGCTCGAAAGCTTGTTTCTCTCACCAAAAGAAGTAGGTCCAATAAAAGATATTACCTTGCCCAGCGTGTCTTTCTGACTTCCCCCGGAAGCAGACAGCCCCAAAAGCAAGTCCCAAGAAAGTTCTTGTATGTTGCATACTCTCATAGATTTCTAAGGCCAGAAGGAACAATTGTGATTATCTAGTCTGACCTCTTGTATAACACAGGCCATAGGACTTCCCCATAATAATTCCTTTTGAGCTAGAGCATAGTCCATCACTAATTTCCATTGGTTCAATGGCCATCTTCCCAGAGAAAATGTGAATCAAAGCTTTTCCACACCATACAGCATTTTCAGAGAAGAATGACAAATCCAACCTGAATCATGGCACAAGGTGTATTTTAATATCATATGAAGATTGATTCAACCCCTACACTAGCACATGGATCAGTTGTGTATTTTTCTCTTTACACAACAAACCTAATATAAAGGAATCACATGGGACTAGCAGGGTCCGAATAACTGTGTTTACTATGGGTACCTGCATGGCCCCACAATATGCCAATATTTTTATGGCTGACTTAGAACAACGCTTCCTCAGCTCTTGTCCCCTAACGCCCCTACTCTACTTGCCCTACACTGATGACATCTTCATCATCTGGACCCATGGGAAGGAGGCCCTTGAGGAATTCCATGAGGATTTCAACAATTTCCATCCCACCATTAACCTCAGCCTGGATCAGTGGACAATTCTAAAATAACTTGCCAATAGGGCATATTTCTTCCTAACCTCAGACATTTAAGTCCAGATCCTCACAGTATTTAGGTGCCAAACTCCCACTAAAATTGGGATCTGGGCCTTAGTGACTGAAATATGCCTTAGAGTGACATCTCTCACTATGAGAAAGGGACCAAGAGACCTTCTCCGTTGGATCATATGAACTGGAACCATAAACTCCCTGAACATTAAATCTCACCAAATGAGGGTTAATCCATCCTCATCATCATATCCACTCATTATACTCCAGTATGAACTTCATACCCTCATATCTCAATGCTGTACTTTGACGCATCAACCTTTTACCCCCAATCGGGGATATTGCAGATTATGTATTCCTTATGCCATCCAATCTTAAACCAACTTTGCACCCTCGATAATCTGGACGTTAATCCCTAATAACCAG